TACAAATTTATTCCACCTCACTAATTCTTATTTAATGCATTCTCAGAAACACAATTCAACAGCAAAATGACTTAGTAATCATGATACGTAATGTGGTAGAATGTTCATTGTGATGATCCAAAAGCAAAAATAAAATAGTAGCAGAGTGAAACCATAATGGTAGCAATGGGAATTAATTGTAGTATATTGTGTTAATCTTAAATATGCCTCAACAGGGCAATGCACCTCTAAGAAAATAAATGGTTGTAATGTACACTTACAGTAGCAAAATGTATTTTGGAGTGTATTGAAGAAAGAAGAAAATTTCTTGGATCTGATCCTGAGTTTACTATTATAACTCTCTATAAAGAACCAAAATGACTTACCTGATAATATGTGGGTGCTTTTTTGTAGCTTTAGTGTTAGACAAGTTCACCTGTCAGGCCGACATACACAGGCAATTGCATTGCGCACAATTTAGAATAACGTGATCTGTTTCCTTCTGAGGGTGAAATCTGTTTTTGTGCAGATAGCCAGCATAGATATTGCAAATATAAATTACTGAAACATAATATTAAAAACAAAGACTAAATTATACTACCTGTGTAATCTTGTTGAGTTAAATCCTTTACATGTCCTACTGCAATTAAAATAATAAAATAAAATCAGTAGTCATACCATAAACTGAACAGAAATCCATCAGCATATTATATAGGATATCTTTATCAAATGTATGTCTGACTGACTTGGTGAATCTTTGCAAACTTTGAACCTGTTCATCTTAAAATCAATTTTTCATATACTTAAAAACATACCCAGGCAGATGCCATTAATTATTATAATTCACTTTTTTTAAGATTATCTGATGAAAATAGAGAGTGCATCTAGATCTAGTTGCAATACAAAATTGTGCTATTCCCAATTGTGCTGTTAACTAGCTGGGATTTTGGCAAATTGCTTAGTCTCCAGGCACTGAGGTTATTTAATATGAGAACTACATGTAATGGTTTTAACTTCTTTATGATAGTAAGAAGTTATTTAGAAATGCTTTCAGAACTCCTTGGAAAAAAAAGATGTTACCAAAATTTTTGTTATACTGTTGTATAGTTATAGATTAGATGCGTATAGTATTCCATAATGAAGGTGGGTGCAAAAACCTGTCCCTGTGCCTACAGCAGTACGATTAGTGGCTGTAGGCATGTGTGTGCATGCTCCCTAAAACCTCACCCACATGCTGGAATGCAAACGCAGAAAAGATAACTGTTCAACAGAATGCAATGCAAACTGATTGTCCTGTAAAAAGAGAATTACATGCAGATTTGGTTTCATTTAAGCAAAAGCAGGAGTCAGAGAATAACTTCCTGATTTATTGTTATACTTTAGTGGAAAAAAATGATTTTATCATGTCTGGAATAACAACAGAATAAATCAGCCCAACTTTCTAACTTATTTAATTATGCATCATAAAATTAGCTTCACAAGGAAAACAATTCCATAGTTTATTCCACACCTATACTGCACAATATCATGCAAAATGATGACTGTATGATACAGTGTAGTTTTCTTTCTACAGAACTGCAACAAGTGAACATTCAATTTTATCCTTCAATCACACAATGCCAGTAATATGCTGCTATTATGAATAAATTAAAACAGACCTTGCAAGCAGAGCTTTACAGCAGGGAAAACGTATGACTCTTGTGGTCTGTTTAGTGCTTTCAGTAACTTCTGCCATAAGCAATAATAAATAATAAACTGTTTGAAAATTACATAGTGTATTACATTTCTGTAGCATCTTTTATCCCAAAATATTTGTATTCTGCAATTCTGGCAACCTCTTGAACAGGGAATAGCAGCCACCGTGTGGATGGAGGTGTGGTAGTTTTCCCAAAGACATCTAGGACAACCACCAGCTGTTACAAAAATGCCATGGGATAATACTGCTTTTTCAGAACAGACAGGACGTTGTTTTCAGTAATTTATCTTGTATGAAAAACTCATACTTAGTAGTTTCCTGGAACTCCATGTCCTTACCTGTGGTAGAAATTCACCTTCAGCTAGCCATTGGGAAGAACAGTTCCCACTAGTTGAAGGTTATGCTAACAGTAATCAGAAATGGGTAATACTCTGCAAACATTTGTGTTGAAGTATACGGTGGCACCAAGTACGTGCATTGAGCACAGTGACTGGCAGCTTGCCACGTGGGTTAATGCTTCCAGTTAAGTGACTGTTCTACCTCAATCCATAGACAAAGGATGACATTATTGCAACTGTGCAGTTAATAACCTGCCACACTGTTAACCTCCACAATGTTCTGTTCTCAGATTAGGTTGAAAAAGCCGCTGAACTTTTCTTCAGATATTATTTTTTTCATTTAAAATGTTCAACTGGGGAGACATATAGTGCATTAATAACCCACTTATTTGGTATCCTTTGTTGCAGTCTTCTGTTTATTGTGTATGAGAGTTACATTTGCTTTGTGTGAGCACTGTTTTTTTTTTGAGTTCAGGACAAACTTCTGAATATTATAAAAACTAATATTTTTTTCTAATAATAATAAACTAAATAATAATAAACTATTTTCTAATAATAATAAATGAAATTTTTTTCTAATATAAAAATATTAGAAAAATAGAAATAGAGTTTGTTCATCAGCTTCTTTAGAAGTACAAACACAGAACTGATTCTCTATTGTTAAAACAAACAAACAAAAAAAATGTCACATCAGTCCAGATTTTGGTTTTGAAAATCCCTGGGACAAATGTTACCTTCAGTGTCTCAGAAAAGCGACTGTTTTAAATCTAGTCACCAGAAAGCTGTTACTGCAGAACAGCTTGTGTGCGCTTGAGTTTAGTGCCTGTGGTGTTCCTAGTAATCAGCATTTCAGGCTTGCTTAGTTGACAACTGAGGTTTGAACAAGAGAAGTGCTAGTGTAAGAAGATAAGCATAACCTCTCCCCTGAAATGAGATTAGCATTACTGACAGAACTGCTTTTTTAGATAAATCCCCACTCTTCACTGAAAATCTCAGTTGGTAGCAATGTTTTCTATTTTTACTTTATTTCTCTTATATTGACAGTCTCTTTTCTCCCTAGTTTTGTTTCCATTATTAGCCCATGTGAGCTATTCAATTAATTGCAATCTTTATTCTGGATTAGTACTTACCCATAGAAATAGGCTGTATAGTATATAGTTGTTTTCAAATGAAATGTTAAAGAGAATGGTAAAGCAGTTTCTTATCAGTTGATGGTCCAGTAAAGTGTACTAGAAGAGATAACAGCATTACACCAACTTACATAATTATTTTAACTAATGTATAATCAGATATAATGGTCTTCAGTTCAAATAGCAGCACAATAGTGTTGAGTTATCTCATACCTTTGCAATGTGGAAGTTTGAGCATCTGGGAGAAGGGATCACTTAAACGTTTTGCCCCAAAAGTACCTGATTAGAATCATAAACTAACTTAATGCTTTAAGGCTATGCTCTGAATAATAAAAAGTTACCCACCCTTACTGCAGGAACTGTCAATATCCAGAGGGATTACTTTTCAGCCTTCATCCTAATCTAGAATGTGGCTGAACAATTTGAGAAAAGAGGGTGGACGATCAAAAGACAAAAAGGATCAGAGGTGTATGTAAGCTCTTCACTGAGATTGTTCTTTAGATTCTTCTGGTAAGTTTGTTGAACTCTGAAAGCTATGGAAAATCCACCTTGACTCATCGGTGCTTTTTTTTGGGTTTTGAAACTGAGGCAGGCTCATAGGGTGTGCCTGATAATGGCATGTGGTTATTCAGGCTGTGATCAACCTCTCGAGTTTGTCAAAGCTTCGGGGTTATTTAATCTCATTGAAGAAACAGAAAGCAATAGCAAAATAAAATCTTTATTGATGAAGCACAGAGCAAGTGAGAATGGCGTAGATGAAGAAGACAGACTTTGTTACCATCATAGAATTGTAGAATCATGCAATCACAGGTGTTGGGAAGGACCTCCAGAGATCATTGAGTTCAACTGCCCCACTAAAGCAGGTTCGCTACAGTAGGTTGGGCAGAAAAGTGTCTGGGCAGGTTTTGAGCATGTCTAGTGAAGGAGACTTCACAACAGGTCTGAGCAGCCTGTTCCAGTGCTCGGTAATAGGCACAGTAAAGTGACTATTTTTTGCTTGTTTTATGGAACTTGTCCCTTGTTCTGTTGCTGCACATCACTGAAAAGAGCCTGGCTCCATCCACTTGACTCCCTCCAATGAGATACTTGTAAATGTTGATAAGATCCCCTCTCAGTCTTCTCCAGGTTGAATGGTCCCAGATCTCTCAGCCTTTCCTCATACAGAAGATGCCCCAGGCTTCTTATCATCTTCGTAGCCTGCTGTTGGACTCTGCAGCAGTTCCCCATTTTTCTTGAACTAAGGAGCCCACTACAAGAGTACTCCCACTACAGAGTACTCCAGATGGCCTCGGCAGGGCAGAGTAGACAGGGATGGCTATCATACTAAACAATGCACAGATCATGCACAGTATTCACATACAAGGGGCTACTAAAGTAGTTTTCCCCAACATATTTAATCCTTGAACTACTGTGAAAAAGGGCAGATATACCTCAATGCAGTACTCTAATTCTTCCCCCAGGGAGAAAAATAAATATATAAACACTTTGTTACTAGCTGTTTTTCTACTTGTGCTTAGCAGTAGCCGAAATATTACCGGGCAGAAGAGCTGCGTGTTTTCTGTGCCGGCACCTCCTGCTCACCCGGTGTGACACCGGCACAGCTGGCGGTACTCGCAGCCAGGCTGCCGCGGGCTGTCCGCACCTGGAGGCGCTTCGCCCCGCGCCCTGCTGGCAGGAATGGGGAAGGGCTGAGCCCGAGGCGGCGGCCGGGACGGTTTGCTCGGGGAGAGGAAAATTCCAGCCGAGAGGAGCGGCCCTGCCCCCGCGGGCCCTGACGGCCGCGGCCGAGAGAGCTCGTCCAGCACCGGGCGGGCGTCGGGCTGGAGCCGGTGGGTGGAGGCGGGCCGCGGAGGGAGGAGTCGGGACGGGAACAGCGAGACTGTGTCTGCGCGGGCGGGGGTTCCGCGTTTCAAGTTTCTCGCCGCCAAGTTGTTTTTTTGTGTGTGTGTGTGTGCGCGTGGTTTGGTTTTTTTTTCGTTTTCATTCCCCGTTTCTCCGCTCGAGGTGTGGTTTGGCGAGCGGCCGCCCCGGCACAGGCAGCCGGATGCCCGCGCTCGGGGGTGAGGCGGGACGGGGCCGCTTTCCGCAGCCCACCCCGCGCAGGTGAGGCGGGTCCCGCAAGCATGGCTGGCTGTTCTCCGCAGACGGCCGTCCTGCCGTCCTCCGGGTAAGCGCGGCGCATCGCTCGGAGCGGGGGGGGGGGGGGGACGGGGGGCATGAGCGGAGCGCGTAGGGCGCGCGGTGCGGGTCCCAACGGCGCGGGCTCCTTCCACGCGCTCGGGCGGCGGCGCCCTGTGGAGCCGGCAGATGGAGCGGTGACCGTTAAACGGCTGCGGGAGGGGCGGGAAGGGGGGCATGGCGCGCGGTTCTCCGTTCCTCGACGGCACTCGGACGCCGTCTGAGCCGGGAACGGGCTGCGGGCAGAGGGGACGAGGGCGTCGCGAGCCCTCACGCCTCGCCCAGGGCGCGCCCGTCATCCGCGGAGTACCTGCCGGGCGGCATTGCGGTGCGGGGAGCGGCTCCTCGGGACCTTCTGTAACCGCCGCTGTCCGTGCAGAAGCCGCGGTGGTGTGGGAGAACGGAGCACGGCGTAGCGCTTCGGTGGGAGTCTGAGAGGTAAACACGCAGCGTGTGTACGGGGAGAAGCGGGGGCCGGCGTGCTTGGTTGCTGGCGCCAGCCCTACCCGGCGGGCGATCAGTCGCTTACAGCCCGCCGGAAGATGCAACTCTCAAGAGATGCTTTGTATCTCCGTGTAGCGAGGTGGGGACGGGGCGGCAGGAGGGCTCGGGTGTGCGACGGAGGGCCCTCACCCCGTGGCGGGGTTAGCATGCGCCCTGTGGCTGGCTTTAGGGCGTTTGTGTTTTAGCCGAGGCTTTCTGGGAGCTTTTGTGTTAGTTGGCTAACTGGTTGCGCTATAAGCTCTCAGAGCTGGTGGTGGTACTTGAAGCAGTGATCAAATCAGTGTGAATGATGGATGGTGGAGCGAACGAACGTGGAGAACTAATAGGGTGCTTCTTCAGCTTGGTCCTTGTGTCAGTCCCACGTTAATGCATGGCCACACAGAAGTGGAGCTGACAGCTCCAGGCAGTGTAGAAGGTATAGTTAAGTACAGATAATTACTGCATTTCTAAGTCTGTACATGGGTTCAGTTGAAAGAACTGAATGTGCGGGGATGGAGCATGATAACGGGTTAGGAAGGCACTAAACCACTGTGCCTTCAAGGTCCTCTGTTCTCCTTGGGGCTGGAACACAAAAACAAGTGAAGGCCACACCAGCAGATCCCACAGACCTGCGGCCTGCCCTAGTGCTGCCGGCTGTGCTGTGTTGCTGCTCGGGCTCCCCGAGTCAGGAGGGCTCGTGTGTTCCCTTCATGTGGCTTAAGGCACCTGCCAGCGTTCGTGTCTCAGTTTTGTAGCTAACAGCAATGCTTGTTTTCATTAGCCCTGCAGGTATATTTTCAGGCTTTTTATCAGCTGTTCCCACATAATTTAGTGCTTGGAAAATCGACTTATCATTCCTTACTTGTTACAACAAGATTTCAACCTTGCCAGTCTTAATTACTTCCTGAAGATAGTCTCCTTTGCTCATCCAAATGCTGGATTTGGGGAAAAAAAATCTGTGTGTACCAGCAGCTCCCTCCCAGTTACTGACGAGGGTCCACAGACTTGCGTTAGAGCAGTCAGCAGTGCTGTAGTCCTGTTTGCTGGGTGAGATTAGAGGGAACATTGTGTTTTTGAAATGGCAATATTGTTCAAACACATTACTGAATGCTGTGGTGTGGCGTTGTGACTCCTCCTATCCTGCCTGACCAGGTGGGGAATGTTGGTAAAACACAACTGGAATCTGTTACCAGCAAATGTGTTCTTTGAAGCTGGGAGGTGTAATCTGTGGTAACTGCACAGCTTGGTAGGACTGATGCATACTGCCAGGGGGGCGTAGATGTGGCCATGCTGTGTTGTGAGTTTTCATGTGTTGCTATTTAGTTAGCCTTGCAATTTCTGTATAATTTTGTCTTCCATGTTATGTTGTGGCTCTTCTGTATGGAATTTTCTTATTCTGCTGGGATGAGCCAGACATACTTTTAATAGTTTTATAGTTCATCCATCTTGCCTTGCGTCTGAGGAGCACTCCTGGCAGCGCACTCCTGCCAGGCCAGTGACACAGAGAGCTCCTGTTCAGAGCTGAATTGGCTTTGTGTTGTCACTGTGCTACGGGATGATAGGAAAATGTGTGTCTTAATACTTAAAAGTAATAAAAAAAAAAATTGACGGTGGGTGGTATCCAGCATCTTGACCACAGTTTTCCTACTATTACAAGAGCAGTGCTGAACCTCTGGTGTAAATAAATTTTTATGTTAACAAGGGGATTTCACTACTTGACAGAGACTTTTACTGTAATGTATTGCCAGTAAATGTGCTGTTAAACTACTGGAGCAAATTTGAACTTCAGTAAACTAAAGATTCATTTTCTTTCAAATATCAGAATGACATTGAGGTATGCCTTTTAATTCAGTTCTAATCGGTTTATGATAATTTTATGATTTAATTTGTTCCCTTTAATCATACGTATGTTTACTTTCAGAAAGCAGCTTCTGTTCTGCCTTAGCAAAGCAATAAAAAACTTTCTATCTTTATTTCTATATCTCATGAGCACACAGCTGGGGGCTACAGCTTCTCTCCAGGGCTGAAGGCAGAGAGGTCAGTGCAGAATGGGGCAGTGCCTGGGTGCTTCAGAACCTCCTCTGGTGTTGTTATGCTCCATTCCCTGGCAGCTTGGCCTGGTGGACATACTGAAGTTAATAAGAGGAGCAAGACAAAAATCTTTTCAGTTGGTTAGAGCTGCCTTTGAGAAATAGATGTGGGTATTTACAGAAAGAACAAGAAATTTAACTTATCTGTTGTGTGTCTTTGCCTCAATACAACCGTTGAGTTCTTTTTATCAAATAATTTCAATCAGATTACAGATCTCCAGAGACATCAGCTGTGGTTCAGTGTTGAAAAATGTCTGGCATCAAGCTTAAAGAGCTGGTTTGAGCTCTCTCCCTCTCTTTCAACTTGTCAGCTGAGCCAGTTCCCAGCCTGGCCACAGATTAGTTGCAGTACGAATGCAGATCCTCTGTGGTGTGAAAGGGCAGTGCTGACGGCAGGGCAGGTGGTCAGCTGCCACACCATAGCAGCAGGTTGGAGGGGAAAGTGGAGAATGCAAGTTTGCCAGTTGGTGAAATGTGGGTTAGGCCTGGAACTGCATTTTTACTTCCAATTAATTGGCTGTCGCTAATGATGTGCTTACTACTTTATCATGTATAGATACTTGTGGATAAACACAATACCTTTGTGCTTTCGATAGCAGTCTCTAGAATCAGAATGTACGTTGGCCTGCGTGCAGTGGGCCATCCGATCTTAAAAGTACTGTATCTCTTAGCTCAAGAATTCAAGATAAATAGCTCATTTTTTCTTGTTCCCATGACCCGATGAAGAAGAACTAATTAGAAAAATAACAAAATGGAAAGAACTTTGAGAACTTGTGCCCATAGCATTTGCTGAGTGTTTAAAGCAAGGAGTTAACCACTTTGTGGATGGATCCCAATCAGGAGCCACTTGAATGTTCCTGTTCCAGGGAACAGTGTTTGTCATCTGAATTTGGAATGTATATGGAACACTTCTCAGGGTGATTTTGTTGTTCATTTTAATGTGTCTGCCTTAGCCAAGGCAACATCGAATATCTGCATGACACAGTGGTGCTTTGAATTGAATGTTGTATTTAGTGGCTGGTTTGGATATTCAAACATTGAGTCTGAAGTCATAGCTGAGTATGTAGCAGTTACATTCCCTGTTGGAGTATGTTGCTGTGGGAATGAGATCAAGGAAACGTTAGGGGGCTAAGGAATGAGGATGCTAGAGTGAAAATCTGTGTGGGAGGGTAGTATACAAAAGAGAAATCAGCAACTATTTCTAAGCTTTGTCCAGCATGATGCTACCTTCCAAAAAGGAGAGCTAGTTATTAATTCAAAGGCATGTGAGAAAAAAGGTGTTTTGGACCAGAATATGGGTTTGTTTCAATGTTATCTTATGTGAAGTTCTTCTTTTCTGTTGTTACTGGATGCTTTTGTTAACTTTATAAGAGACTGCAGTGTTCATGTAGACCTGAAGATCACTGTTTATTTTGAGTAGTAGCATCTGTGTTGGGTGGAGGAAGAAAAGGGCCCATTGTAAGGATCCAAAGGCTTAGATCCCAGAGGAGACCTTTATAGTCATCCCGTCATCTGACAGGTAAATTGAATCACCAGGAATGTTTCAGACTTAGAAACAAATGATTTCTCCTTTAATCTACTAACATCTAAATAGGCCTCCCTTCAGGAAGCCCAGCACTGCTTCTGTTTTTTGACTGTAGTGTGGAAGTTTTCTCAGTGTTACGGCAAGTTACAGCGTGGCCGCTGTCGTTTCCAACTGCTGCTGTTGTAGCCTTGTGCATGCTGGAGAGTGGCAGATCCGAAATTATCCAAGCAGCTCTTAGTTAGCGCCTGCTCAGATAAATAGTTCTGATTTTTATTTTTATTTTTATTTTTTCTTGAAATTTACAAGCCAGTGTGAGTTGTATCCACTCCATTAAGAGAGCGAGGAATGCAGAGTGTTCTTTTTCATGGCTGCTTGCAAGTTAAAACAGGTCTTTTCTTCCTTCTCACCTAGTTCTCCCTAGCTCCCCAGCAGCTGACCTGCTGCTTTGGCTTCATGCTCACATGGCTGCAGGCTGCTTGAGAAAGAGCTGCTCATTGCAGGAGCATTTGCTGCTGCTTTACTCTGCTCTGCAACTCAGTGAGTTGACGTCAAAGCATTCGAGGATGACAAGAAGCTGTTTTCTCCTAGACTCCTGTAGAGTTCTGTGGCTATGCCCAGCATTAGCACAATGAAAAGGAAACTGTGCAGCATGTGTCAATGGGGAGCTCAGCAGGGAAAAAAGCAACGCTGCTTTGACTTTTAACAGGCAATTAAAAATGTGAGATTTCACTTGAATACTCTCCTAAATATGGTTTCATAATTAAAAGTGCAACTCTTTGTATGAAAGTAAACTTTTACTACTTTGAGTTCAAGTAGGGGCATTCTAACTTAAAATCTGCATGGTGATGGTTAAGTGTAGAAATGTGCTTTTTTTTCATAGTTAAGGAAACA